TATAGAACAATTTTAGAATACCAATGAACAAAGAAGAAGACAAACATCAACAGCCTATCTGATCTGAGCATTGAGGAACATTGGCTAATAAACAGCATCCTGTCCCGAAAGCTGAGACACTTCGGCCATGTTAAACGTCGTGGCAGCCTGGAGACAACGGTGGGGGAGGGGACAGTTTCTGGAAAAGAAGTCAGAGGCACACCTCCCTGAATATGGATACAAGGCATTGAAGTTGCGTTGGCTATAAAAGCACATAGGGTTGGAGAACTGACTAGAGAAAAATAAAGAGACTTTCAGTGTAAAGCAGACATTCATCATCAGTCAACATAATGTCAGTGTAGACCGACTTAAGGACCCACTCTACCTACAAGTAGGAAAAGACACCTGGCCTCAAGAGCAAAGTGTGCAGAGCAAGCTACGGCTAACCACGAAGGGCCTGCAGCTGACATGTGAGTTAAAGGTTAAACTCGAGAGTATTTACTTCAATGCAATAGGTTTATCCCATATGGCTAGGCCTCTCTCCGTTAAACAGCTAGCTAGCTTTACACAGTGCATAAACTCCGTAGCTCCGGCGACGGATCTCCATAAAATTTGCATTCATGAACTGAATCGAACCACGACCTTCAGAGCGTGAGGCAAACAGCTTAAACGCTTGACCCCCTTGACATGTGACTTCATAGAGGCAATCCATCTGGTGGTCTGACCTGAGCATATGAAACTGAATCCAAGAAGAAATACAATAAGTGGAGTTTAGTGTACTAAAGTATTCCATCTTGTCGGCCACTCGATACTTGAAAAACAAGAAACAGTTTTACTTGATTCATGTAACAATTTGATTTGAGTTTCAGCTTTATATAACAGATCAGTCATGGGAATTTTGTCTCCATTGGCCAATATGTATCCATGTGTTATCAGGAGGTCCTGAAATTGAAATCAAAAGTGATAACATTATAATTGTCTTATTTTGTCTGGCAAATTATTTGCTTCTGACCACAGTTAGCATTTCCCACCATATGTGGGCCAAAGAAAAACAGTTCCGTCTTCCAGCTACTGAGCATGGCGTGACACGGTGAGCTGCAGATTTTATTTGGAATATGAGTGATGTGGTCAATATCACTCAAGCCGCCTTTACTTCACAGAACCTTTCCTCAAACCTATTTAGGCTGGTTCGACTTGAGAACTCAGGTACATTTAAACACACACATAAATCACCTTAATACAGGTCTTATTGGTGCCTGGGAGACAGCCATGATGCTACAGCGACTATTAAGAAAATGACGAAGAAAATCGAGAAAACGCAAAGGGTGCACGGGGAGGATATATGGTGATCAACATCGTGACCTAGTTAGATATCATAAGTTAAGAATCAACATTATAACACTCGGGACATTCCTATAATTGCTCTATCCAAAGCTTCAACAGCAAGCGCAGAATTCAAATTTCCATGAAATCAGTTACACTCTGATTGTTACAACTATATATTGCATCATTGTATATCCGCCTCGCCCCTATCCAGATTGTTGGGCGGCGGACAGATCCCCTGGCCACCCTGCAGTGGCAATGCTGATCTAGTTTCTTCTGCACTATTTACTCGCTCCAAAATGATCCCTACAACATCTAGCTTGTCGTGTGTCATTTTACCACTAAGTAATGTAGAAATAGCTAATCTATCTTCCTTTTCAGCTCACAACACACTGGCATGCACTGGAGAAAATATCCAAAAGGTTGCTAACAACCCGAGACTTCTGAAACGATGCTTGCTATTCTGCACGGAACATATCATGAACAACTTGTCAAGCATCGTCATCATCATCATCATGAGTTCATAGTGAAGGCGAATGGACGTCGCTTGGTTCAACAAAGCGTGGCACATGATATCACAACGTCTAGTTTAAGAATGGAGGTGGAGGCAGTCACTGCTGCCTTCTGCTGGCTTGAGAATCAGCTGTACACACATGTCGTCATTGTTACTTACTCACAGAACATGCTGAGAAAGGGGGAGACAGGTATGCTCCATGCAGAGTGGCAAGCATCACTTCAATGGTTCTGGGTAGTTAGCATCCTTTTGATATTTTCTCCAGCTGATGCTGCTTGTTGTGGGAAATGAGCAGGCAGATCGACTGGCCGGTTGTGCGCAACTTGGTGGTGAATTGATGTATGACAAACTGGATGTTATGAGAACCTTTGGGAGCAAGTGAACAGTGCTGAGGAACAGATAGATCATTATGGTATGAGGAGTTACAAGGGAATGTTGCTGAGGATGGGGACATAGTGCTTAAGGGGGTGTCCCGGGTGTTATCATCAGGAATGTTCACTTCTGCCTTTAAGCATTGTTAGGAAAGATAGCTTCCGATCCAATGCTTGCTGGACAGCACTGGATATTGTCATTTCGTGTTGATGTAGAAGCTCTTTGATGTCATCAGTCCATCGTTTCTCTGCAGTAACTTTTGGATTTCCAGATTTCATACTTATGTTTGGATGTCTTTTAATAACGTCAAGGGCGAATCACAAAAACTACGAGCTAAAACTTGTCACCCCTGCCCAGTGTTGCCACTTTGGATCTTTTATATCCAAATGTATATCTTTTTCATTGCATTTAGATACTGTTTTTGACGTTTAGATCGTAAATATTTTTCTAGAACTTTTCAAATGGAGTTAGATATTTTATAGATTTTTTTCTTTCATTGTCAATTTAATAATTACTGTGTAAAATATTTACTACAATATTTTTGTTTTGGTCTGGCACGTACATTGTGACAACTGCCATTACTTGAACTTTGAACTCTCACTGGGGTCAACGCACAAATATCTGGCAGCCCCGGTACTGATTAATAAAAACGCGCGTAAATCATACTAACTTTGTTTCAACCGTATCCTCACTGTGCTGACTTTGCGTTTCTTTTTCATGTGATTTAAAAAAAAAAATAATTGCTCACCTTCTTATGTGGCTTTCACTTTGAAAAAAACCTTTCAACATGCCAAAAGTAAAGTATGAGCAAAAAATTTGGAAAGAGTGGTTGCATGATGACACAATTAAAAACTGGGGATATGACTAAAGCTTGTTGTAAGTACTGCAAGTGTGAAATTAAAGCGAAAATACAAAACTCAAAGAGTCATGCAGAGACTAAAAAAGCATAAAACTACAGTTTCATTTAAAGATATTACACCGCTGACATCTGTTGTCAGAACTATACTGATAAATGAATCATCAAAAGTTGAAGTATCAGTCGCAATGTTTTTAATGTGTCACTGCGCAATTTCAAACTGTGACCCTTTGATCGATTTGAAAAAAATCTTGGACTAGTTCAATTTGAAAAGTGTGGTGTAGAAAGTATAGTTTAGGAACTGAAGGACCTTTTAATCAGCAAACAGTTAGGCTTGAAGAATTTGGTTGTAATTGGTACTGATAATGCCTCAGTGATGGTTGGTATAAACAATGGCGTTTATGCCAAGTTGAAGGAAGCTAACCCATCGTTAATACTTATAAAATGTATGTGTCATTCATTGCAGCTAGCATTATCACATGCTTCATCTAAATATTTACCAAGGAATTTGTAATACCTTATTGCTGAAACACTTTACTGGTTTTCCAAATCATTTGTCAGACAACAGCAATACAATACATTATATACAGCTTTGAATGATGGTTCCACGCCACCAAAAATTCTGTCAGATTGCAAAACTAGATGGTTATCAATTTAACCAGCTATTGAAAGAATTATGAAGCAATGGCTGAAGATGAAGACACACTTTGAAATAACAAGACAAAGTGAAAAGTGCTACACAGCTGAAATACTATATGGAATGTACAGTGATGAAAAAAAAATGTGTCATTCATTCTCTTTTTTTAACCTATTCTAATGGAAGTGAAAAAGTTAATAAATTGTTCGAATCTAAACTTGTTGATAAAGGTAAATTACTTGATGATCTCACCTTGCTATTTCACTCGGTAAAAGACTGGTGTTGCCAACTTCTAAAGCTGATTTGCTCACTTGCACTATAGAGAGCTATTTGGCTCCTAAGCCACACCTTGCATATTAAATCGAATCAAAAATTGATGATTTAAAAACAAAAGGACTGTTGACAGAGAATGAAGAGAACAACTTAAGAAAACGCTGTCAAGATTTCCTTATCTCATTATTGAAGCAATTGAAGCAGAGACTTCCTGAAAATCTAGATGTTTTGAAAAATATTTCACTTTTTTCTGTGAGCAACATACTTCAGCCAATAAAGGACATACCTAAATATTGTAAAGTTATGAAATGTTTAGGGGCTACTGATAATAATGTCGCGGAAGCAGAATATTAGTTAACCAAAATAAAGTTAGCTGAATGGACAAACAAAACAGAAGCTAAAGCGTTTTGGAGTGAAGTGAGACAATTTAAAGATGCCTCATCAAACTGTCCATTCTGTAAGCTCTTTAAAGTGCCATGTCTGCCATGATACTACCCCACTCAACTGCTGACGTAGAAAGAGTTTTCAGTGCTAGGAATTATATCAAATCTAACCGAAAAAAAAAAAAAAAAACAGGATTAAATTTGACCTCTTAAATGCTATCGTGCCATTAAAATTCGTCCTGATGAGACTAGAGAAATAAGCCTACTGTTCCACATAAAGAAATTTGAACAGCTAAAGCATACCAGGGTCATTTTGGATCTGAAGCTTCAACTTCATTATCCAAGCTAAGTTTATCCTGTGGATCTTGTGAGGCAGACATCAGTGAAGGTGAGGACATGATTATGTAGGTTAAGTCATAACAAAAGCTATGTAATTTTTGACTTTTTCAATTTTTCTAGATCTTTTCCACTCAGATTTAGATCTTTTTAGATATTTTTTGACAGCGTTTTGGATATTTTTTGTCAAAGAAAAGTGGCAACACTGCCCTTGCCTGACATCCGGTTCTGCGAGCAAATGGCGGTTGTTGATTCCTGGATTCTGTGAGGTTCCAGTTGATATTTTCTCTTTTTTAAATCAACTTCTTGTATCTATTTTACCCAGCCATGTTTGGAACACCAAGCACTACTACGTCAGGTAAAAATCACAGCTTTAGTTTAACTGAAAGCTTTTGTTTATCGCCGTAATTGTTACTTAATATTTAAATTAAGTTTGTGAAAGTGACTTTAATTTTCAGTCAGTTTCAGTATCGAGTATGGCACATTAGTTTAGTATCAAATGCATATATTATTAATATTAACAACTTGTCTTATGACATAAGTTATGTGGCTGTATGTTGGACCAGTCGCTATACAATCACAAGTCCTTAGCTGAGAGAATAATAATAAATAAATAAAACTCTTGTATTCAATACAGTATTGAAGAAAGCTGCAGTCGATCGTCAGCCGTCAGGAGACATTCTTCAGTCATTCATTCACTGACTCTGTGAGACACACCGAAATTAAAACACTTGACAGCGTAGTAAGAGCCTTTTCATGGACGGACACACATGAGAAGCAGACTCTGAATTGCCTACCTTTTGGCTTTTGCTGGCGTCGAATATTGCTGCATAGTTAATTATATTGTTTCTAAGTTACAATTAACTTAGAAACAGTATAGTATAAATTGTAAAAAACTATAATCTAATTCTTCTTTTGCAAGTTTTCTGTAAAGTGAGTTGGTTATAATTTTTATTGTCAAAAAAAAAAAAGTTATCAGTTGAAGATAAAACTACAAGGACGAGAAAATCAAAACAGAGATGAAAATAACTGGATAGACATGGAAATTGCTGCAGGAGATGACAAAAGATGGGATGAATTATGAATGAGAGTGTGTTGTTAGAAGACTTGCTGTATTTCATTGTTTCTGAATAAATGTAACTATATTATTGAAAGTGATCAAGTGGCAGTTACACATTGTTGATTTCACTTAGTGATGATAATTGGCTATGCAACAACATCAGCAGATTTCTTGACATCTGTGTTTACTTTATGTCTCAGCTTGAGAACATCCCAGTTTACTATAGATAACAAAGTTAATATTGGGGAGGGGGGCTGTAACCACACTTCGCCATAAAGCCCCCCGCCCCCAACAACAACCTGGATTACCGGCTTTTGGGAGACTGACCCGGCTTTAAGAAGAAAAAAAAGAAATATTTATTATTCTTAAAATATTATAATTTTTTTTTCTTTACATTAGATGCTTTTCTCCTATTGTTTCTATCCTTAAAAAAAAAAAACCCCAGATAAATACCAGTGTAACTGATGATAGATAGTTGTATACTTGAGTCTTTGTTTCCCTGGACCAGGTTTTGCCTTCGGTGCTCCGTCAGGAGGAATGACTGGAGCAGGCACTGGCGGGTTTGCTTTCGGGGGCAGCTCTGGTTCAACGGGAGCTGGCGCTTCTTCTGGGTTTGGGGGTTTCAGTTTTGGGGGATCAGGAACTGGGCCGGCAACTACCACTGCAGCTGCACAGCCAGGAGGTTTTGCTTTTGGTGCCTCAGGAAGTGGGACAGCAGCTACTGCTGCGGCAACTCAGCCAGGAGGGTTTGCTTTTGGGACGTCAGGAAGTGCACCAGCAGCCACTGCAGTTGCCGCTCAGCCTGCAGGTTTCAACTTTGGAGCTGTTGCCCCAAAACGTAAGTACCATCGAGGTGATGTCTGTGTGTAAAAGACCCCTTTCCGTACCTTTAGGCATATAGGGCTAGACCTATATTTTATAGACTAATTGGCATTGGGTGGCTGATTTGGTCAGCATCACACAGGCATCTTGACTTCCTGTGCCTGATACCCGCTCAAGGCTGGCTCGATTTAAGAGCCAAGTTTATTTTCGAAAACAGTCCAGTTCTCTTGGGACCTGAATCAGCGACCTTCTGACCCGCAGGCGAGCGTCTAACCACTACACCAAGGTGGGTCTCTGGTTTAGAAAATTCATGTTGGTGTCCTCTGGTATTTGAGTTCCGTGGGTAGATTTTTAAAAACTAGTATTAAATGAAAGCAAGATTTGTGCGACAGTTGTTAATTGATAGAAAGAATACACTACCTAAGTGAAGTTAAACTGATGTCATCCTAGTGGGGAAGGGAGGTTAATAACTGGATAGCAGTTAACAGCAGAGGGCAGATAAAAACCACATGGTTAAATCACCAGCATTTCCAAGTGACTGTATCTAGGGGAACCTGGATTCAGGTTCTGGTTCATTTTCTCTAGTGTATACAATTCCCTACCAACTGCCACAGAGAGCCACACTGAAGAAATTTAATAAACACAGAGCAAGGGGAAGACCACGCAAGATACGGATCAATGTCACCAGGAGCAACCTAACAGAAATCAACACTAACTTGTACAATGCATTGGAAAAAGCGCACAAACGATCATTACAACCCCCCACCCCCCCCCCCCCCCCCCCCCACCCCCACCCCCAACACCTTGCTGAGGTAAATGAAGGAAGAGAAGACGAATGAGAAGTATACAGTTTTTATTTATAAGGTTCTGCTGTTTGTCACACAAACAAGGTATTAGACTGCCTAACAAAACCACTGACTGTGGAAGTCCTAAAAAAGTCAGTCAGAATGATCAGGTTACAGTCATTATAGATTTGATTATTAGACCTTACGCAATTATGATGATTAAAGTGGGGAACCATCTACTATTTCTGTAAACTCAGCCGCTCATCCTCTCTGACCAAACACTTATGAAGACTTTGTGAAGTTGTCTACAGCTTCCAGTATTTAAAAGTTAATGGGCTATCCATGTTGATAGCTGTACAATATTGCATCTACACCTTTCATGGAAAACATCACTCAGGTCCTTGTGAAAATTAAAGATACGATCAACTGGTCCCTGCTACCTGCCATTCAAAATTCTTTAATATAAAGTCTTTATGACAGAACCAGCCTCTCTGGTGGCCTGCTCGACCACGACTGCCTGCCTTCTCTCCTACCTCAGATGAAGCAAACACACACTCACAGCCTTTCAACTCTGACCTCTTTCTTTCATTGACCACAAACTTGCCACGCACTCACTGTGCTGTCATTCATAATATCAGTAATACCACCATATGAGCTGGGAGTCACCGTGGCCGCATGGCTAGATGCTCGCCGCAGATCTGAAGGTTGTGGGTTCGCTCCCTGGCGGAGCCGGACTTTTTAAAAAAATTACTTTGGCTCCCAGATCGACCCAGCCTTGAGTGGGTACTGGGTGCAGTCCCAGGGAGTAAAGGCGGCCCGCGTGATGCTGACCACATCACCCATCTTGTGCCGATTGGTCTATAAAAATATGTCTAGCCCTATATGCCTAAAGGCGTGGAAAGGGTCCCTTACTTTACTTACCATATGAGCTACCCAGATTAAAGCTTCAAAACCTATTTAGTGTTTGTTTGATTCTGTCATCGTCTTCTATTCAGTGTTTATATTACTTTTTTTTCACCCAATCAGTACTTGATCTTTTAGGGTCCATTGGTTACCTTTACCTTTACTTTAGGATCCATTCAGTGTCTATTATTATTTTATCAACCATTCTTCTTTTTTTCTCTGGAACGTGCTCTTCTGTTTGCTTCATATAAAATACTTTCAGTGTCTCTGATATTTCTGCATGGTCGACCTCTGGCTCTGTTACCGTTGTATCTGTATAACATTGCTCTCTATTGTGCCCTGTCTGATGCCAAACTATTTGATTTGTCTACCTAAAAAATTCAGTATTGGTTCTGTGCTGACTCTCCTCATTATATCACTGTTTATAAGTCTATCTTTCCACCTTACATCTAGCACAGTATGTAAACATCTTTTATTTCTGTCATGACTATTTTCCTTCTGTCTTCTGAAGACAGTGTCCATGTTTGGCATTGACAGCAAAGAGTTGGTAAGAAAAGTAGGTTGAAAAGTATTCCTTTAGTGTTCATATTCACATGCTTGCATTTCTAAATTTCTGTGTTTGTATACTTGTTATGTACATTAACCCTTCAAATGTTTTTTGTGTTCTCACATCAGCCGCAACCAGTTCCACTGGTGCTTTTGGTGGATTCGCCTTTGGAGGCTCGCAGCAGACACAGGCTCCTCAGACAACAACAGCTGGGGGAACAGGTTTTCCATTTGGGTCCACTGCTGTTAGTGGTGGTGGCTTGTCACTGGGAACAGCCACGTCTGGGTCTACCATGTTTGGCAGTTTGAAACCACCCACTGCAACTACAACAGCAGCCCCTGCTGCTACTGCTGGTTTTGGTGGGTTTGGTAAGTTTGACTAGCAAGAGCTCTAGCCTTTGATGGTTTAGGAATTAGTTTGAAGCCAGTGCGCAGGTACTTTTAATTGACAGTGTTGATTAGTTTTTTTGTTTGTGCCACCTACTTCATCCATCCAGGTTTAACGTGTTCTCACTTTGTAGCATACAGCCAAGCTTTGGACGGTCAACATAGCTGGCACAGTTTGCAGTCAGCAGGACCAATTCTATTTAGACGCTGGCTGTTGCTGGAGGTCGAGTTCACAGATCAGGCGAGACAGATCTTTCCCAATCAACTGCTACACTTCTCCACATTTTTTCAAAAATGACCTTACCTTTCAGGTCGACCCAGCCGTGAGTAAGTAGCAGATAAAAGTCCTGGGAAGTAAAGGCGGCTGACGTGATGTTGACCACGGCACCTGCCGATTGGTCTATAAAATATACCTCTAGCTCTATTAGTGCTGGAATTTATTTGAAGTATCTCAGGCCGTAAATACCAGCATATAATTAGCGCATACCAAGGCTAAGCAGAGTAGAGGAAAGAAGAAGAAGATATCTTTTTAAAAACCTGATGCTGAATTGCAGAACAGAACCAGTGTTGAAAAAGAATATTAGGATGTGGCTAGGTGTAATGTGTCTCTTTATACTGGATCTCACCAGTACTTCTTAGACACTGGCTGTTGTCTAGAGGTCGAGTTCACAGATCAGACAAGACAGAACTTCCCAATCAACTGCCACACTTCTCCACATTACAGTCGACACTAGTTGATCACAGTTTCATGTTTATTGGTCGTAACACGTGAACTACGAGAATCAGTCTGCCAGTCTAGCCGTGTACCAAACATCTACAACATGACACTTACTTCATCCACCCAGCACTTTGAAGTATACAGTCACGCTTTGGATGGTTTGCATTGACCTTCACACAGTTAGCACTCAGCAGGACACATCAGTCGTCTTTCTCTTATCTATCTTTCATTGTAACTTACGATGCAGACAAGCGGCATCCGTGGCTTAGGCGTTGTGAGTCCAACTTGTGATTCCAATGTACCGTGATCAAAACCCACTGTTGGCTGCGTGAATTTTTATCATGTATGGGGCGTCGCAGGTCCACCCAGCCTAAATTGGGTACCAGGGTGTATGTCCTGGGGAAGCAAAGACAGTTGGCATAATGCTGACCACATTACCCACCTAGTGTCGATTGGTCTGTAAAAATGTGGGTGCTCTTCCCATATGCTCAGTGTCCTGAAGGCATGAAAAGAGATCTTCACTATCTTTTTTTTTTTCATGCAGACGATCCGCTTTCACTCCCTGCTCTGGCGCCCTGTCACATAGTGACTTGCTAGTCAGCTATTGCCCTAGTCATCTCGTGTTCCCAAGTCAACTCACACAAGCTTGAGTTTTACCCGCTCTCATGTCGACTTCATGTACCTGGGGACTTCCCCAATTCTCCCAACTAATCAGACCCCTACATTAATCCTATATTTAGCATCACTACAGCAGGTTTCTTTTTTGAGGCTTGTACAGTTGTTAAATGGCCACCAGTCTGAATTGGGAGCTGATGTGTTGCCGCTAGATGCTTGCCTGTATATCCAAATGTTATGGGTTCAAATCTAAACGAATCTGGACTTTTTTCAAAAATGACCTGGGCTTCCAGGTCGACCCGGCCTTGAATGAATAGCAGGTAAAAGTCCTGGGAAGTAAAGGCAGCTGGCGTGATGTTGGCCACGGCACCTGTTGATTGGTCTATAAAATATATGTCTAGCACTATATGCCCAATACGTCTGAAGGTGGGGGGGGGGAGGTCCTTTATTTGTTGTGAATTGGAGTTAACGAAGCAGGCTGAGAAAGGAATTGTGGGTAACCTATGGTCTTTGCAATGGGATCAAGGTTTTGTGCTCTGGAAAGTCGGAAATTCATCTTTAATCTTAATTTATATCACCAAGGGTTGTGGTTTGTATACCTCCATATAGCACTTTGAGGTTTGTACACCGGATCACCAACATGGCACACAGGTAGTAACCTATAAGTGCTCCGTTCTTCTTCTAACTCAAGTCTGAGTCCAGAGAAGCTCAGCACAGGCTCTGTAGCACAGGCGAGAATCCTGAAAAACTTTGGGTAGATTTTAAATTCCAAATTTTGACCGTGCAGCGCCATTATGCTACTCTTTTTAATTTCCAACTGCCAAGGGATTTTAACGTGTGCAACAATGCATACGGGCGTCCGATCTTACTTTCCAGAGGCCGGGGAATTAATAGAAATCTAAGTCCGTGTGAAAAAATCCCAGTCCTTATCGGGGATTGAATCCGATACCTCTAGCGCTCGAGGCGGACACCATGCTTCGAGACCACACTGCCCCTATATATGGCAGAGTGGAAAGACAAAAAATGTCATTAACCAGACATCTTGTGGGATGCAATTTTTTGTTATTTTGAAGCCTCACCCTGGCTCTTGTCGTGGGCTGCAATATAGCCTGGCTATACGTATGGTCTAATGGGTGATCCTTATCTGCATGGTAGCACTTTGTGTCATCGGGTGTTTATCGCTTGTGTGGGGTACAATTTACTACTACTACGAAAAGTGTCAGCATTAGTTGGTCTGTGAGGGAGATCAGATACACACACACATTTGGTTGTGTGTGTTCCTTTCTCACATATTTTTTATCTTTGTTGTGATAGGATCTACTGACCCAGCTAAAACAACAGGTGGGTCTTTGTTAGGTGGACTTCTCAGCTCTACCACTTCAGCTGCAGCTCCTGCAGCAGCAACAACATCCACACCAGCAACAGGTGGTTTTAATTTTGGAGCAACAGTAACCACAGCTGCAGCAGCCACTGGGTTTGGTTTCGGGGCAGCACCAACCACAGCAGCCACTGGGTTTGGTTTTGGAGCAGCAACAACAACAACTGCTAGCGGGTTTGGATTAGCACCGACTACAACTACAGCAGCTGCGGTGACAACAGCACAGTTGGGAGGTAGGTAGATGACATGACTGATGTGGGGTTTGTTTTCCTAGTTTTTGTCAGTGAGTGATGCTGACTTGGCAGTCTTTAGGGTCATGCTTAAATTAAAACTGGCTTACTTTTTCTTAGCATTCATCAGCTATAAGCTTTGGTGGAAAATTCTTAACTTTGTTCTTGTTCCAGAATTTGTTGCGTGCAGATCTGTTTTACAAATCTGTCTTATTTGTATGCAGACTTGGTTCCTTACCTCTCAGACAGATGCACACATCCCAGATTATGATGGAAATGCTTGATGGATTTGTTGCGTGCGCTTATTTCTGGAAAGACCAGTTTTTCAAATGGGACAGCGAGGGACATTTCATTTGATTTTTCTTGGCACATGAGTGAAGCAAATATGGGATGGCTCGATTGCAGTGAAATTGAAACCTTGACTAAGGCTAAGCATGTCCTAAAAGGCAACTAATTAGGAGTTGTCTTAAATCTGACATTTTTGGTCAAAAGGAGCAGATATTAGAGCCTAGCTGTAAACCACAAAACAGTGTACTGGTTGCCCTTTCAAAGTTGGACACAGAAGAAGATAAATGGACAGTTTGTGAAGTCAGAAGGCTTGCTTTTCATAATTTCTCTCAGTAGAAGTCGTAGAATTTTACCTGATGCTTTCAGAGGAGTAAAATAGCTAACAGAGCAACAGGTGCACTTTACACAGTGGTCTTCATCTTTACTGCTTCGGCATCGAAGAAAATATAAGGTTCTGCCTTTTTACTCTTTAGTCTTCCTCAAATATGGACTCATCTTGCTGTTATAGAGTTTCTCTGGTTTTATCTTTCCACCTTGTTCATGATCTGCGTCCTTCTCTTTCAGTGTATACCGTGTATTCTTGGTATGGCATCACAAGGCATTCTCTCTAACTGGGCAAACTGTGTGATTACATGGTGGTCGAGGAGGGAAATTAAAACAAATGTGAAGTGTCAAGTTCCTTGTGTGCTCTTTACAGAAGGCAGCCCGGAAGTCAGAGCGGCAGGAACAATAAACATTCTCATGGAAACAACTGAGCTCAGGCGGTGATTTTCTATGGTTAGAGTAACCAGGTCAGAACCATGTCAGCACATAGCTTGAGGAAAGGAACTGTTTTCAATCCCTCACCACAAAAGTTAGTTACCTATCTTTGACAGGACATTACAGAACCAACCTCCAGCTTTTTATGCCTGCTTGTGATTTCACCAGGCAGTTTTAGGTTTAATAATTTCCCTGACCACTTGAATCTGCAAATGGCTAAGGGAAATAGTTCTGGTTGGTGGCGCCGAGGAAAGTAAATATTGACCTCAACCCATAATGGAAAGAAGTATGGTATATGATATCCTTTATTGCTCACACCATAAATTTTTTTTATGAGAAGAGTGAACACAATACAGAGTGATAGAAAAACAAATGAAACAGTCACCATCAAGACAGAGGAAAGTCAAAAAAATTTTGGAACACTCAGACATAGACAGTGTTTTGGGAAACAGGTTATGAGAAGGATTGGACTCAAAAACTTTATAAAAAGAGAGCAAGAGGAAGGCAAAAAAATAAATGCGGGGATGATTTGGCCTCATGGATGGAATGAGACAAGAACATTGTCCTGATTGATTGGCGATTAGTAGAAATGGCGAAGCATGCCTGCGTAAACTTACTGGCACAGCACACAATGATGATGATGATTGCAATAGTATCTACTACCAGTATTCGTTGTTGGATTTTCATATTTCAAACACAACTTCGGTCAGTCGTGTATATTATTAAAATCATGACAGTAATAACTTTGAGTCATGTTTGTTATTGCTACTTCATCCTTTTTTGTCTTGTATCCTTTAGCTATATTGTTCTAAGGTTTTCCCAATGTGCATTCTATCGAACACTTGAGTCTGTTCGCACCCTTTGATTCACTTACCAGAGTAAATGTTAGAGCCCATTGCAACACTTTTCATTCAGCAGACGCAGTCAACTCCGTATGACAGCAGCAAACCATTGTATTTAGATTGTGAACTGAACACAACAAACTCTGCAGCCATATGTACAAGAAATAAAAGATAAGATAATATGAACTTTTGTCTGTTTGGACAGACCACAGAATACAGCTATGACTATGGATATTTTGTTTATGTGCAGTAAGTTAGTTACAGATCCTTTACAGGAGGTTGCAGAATCAACCCCAACAGCCCCTGGCTGTTGTGTGGTTTTTCTAGGCAAATTTATGTCCAGTAGTTTGCCATTGCTTTCTAGAAAGTCGGCTTTCTTTATACCAAAAGGCGCATGGCTAGCAGCTGAGATCGAACCTGGCATTACGTAGCGTTCGCATCGACTTAGCCACAGAACCGACATGTGCAGTAGAGAGGTCTCAAATCTGGCCAGCTGGCGTTCCGGTGGAAACAAAGCTGTAGAGATCAGAGGACATGTATCATAGCACAGACTTCATAGAGGCTTGTGGCCTTCTCCTCAGAAGACCAAGAAGAAGCATAAGAATATTCAGTAGAGGCTGTCTAGTTCTCTCCTTTAGTTCTGTTGCTGCTATGACAGCTTAATGTAAAGTTATGTTACTGCATCTATGACTGCACAACATCTATCTATGGCATACCCCCCTAAGGATTCGAAAATTGCACTTAACCTCTGTCACCTGGATCTACACACCTGATGATGCTGGTGTAAACGATAATGAGGGAGTGGACCAACTGGCAAGCAATGCACCAAGGCATATGGGAAGAAAGCATGGACAGAGCAGATATCATAAACGCTGGACTGGTGGATAATGACCAATCTCTGACACTAACATGATTGCATGACATGGTAGTAAATTTCGGTGAAGCATGTCTCTGCCGCCTCCGAGGCCAAGATAGGAGACGTTATAACCAGCTTCTCATGTGAATAATTAGTGGAAGTTCCTTGGAGTGGCTGCTGCATCAGAGGACTGAGCACACATGGGAATGCTCAGTGTGCAGTGGCGTCGATTGTGATAATGTAACATCTGTCATGTTAAGGAGACCGCACAATGAACTAGCAATATGCCATTTTGTTCCTTGGCTACATAATGATGAGTTTGTATTTGTTGTTTTCCTTCTCAGGTTTCCCCTTTGGGACCCCCGCAACTCAAGCCTCGACATCGGCCCCTACACTGGGAGGTGGGATAGGGCTTGGCAGTGTCTTCAGCACAGCTACCACGACCACAGCGGTGGCAACGAGTGCTCCGCCGGCAAGCTCTGTAGCATCTCTCTCAGGGTGAGCACCATTGCAGTTTCTTTTTAACTGCCTCATTCATGCAGAATGGGTCAGTATCTTTGCCTGGGACAAGAACATCTGCTATAAATTAATTAAACTGCACATGATCATGGTCAGTCAGGTGCCATTTACGCAATAAAGGTTGGCTGCAATAGATCTTCATATCTCTCTCTCTCTCTATTTCATCTTGGTTGTACACTCTCAGACTGCTGTTCATCCATCTCTTAATAATGTGACCAAAATATTTTGTCTGTTTTATTTCTATCAGTAACTTTTTTGGGTAGTTTTTCCAGAACCTGCGTATTTGATTATTTTTCGGTTTGTTCCCATGAGGTTCGACCTATTAGTATATAACTGATACACCAACTTTCCACAGGCATCCAGCAATAGAACACATTTGATATGGTTATTTGTATGGTCCAAGCAAAGATAATGTCAAATAAGATAAGAGACATCTTGGTCCTTCTGGGAAACTGATGTTGTTTTACTCTTTGTGTTGATGCTGAGCAGGAGAATAGAGCACCTGTGGGTCTGTCGAGTGTTTTCACAAATCACTAATTTGTCTCGTTAACATGATCATCTAAAAGAGGCAATCTGAATTCTATCGTCATGAGATGAGAATGTGAAAACTGGAGTACATCATGACAGTAGGAAAGTTAGAGGGGAAGAGAGGCAGAGGGGGGCTGAGAGAACAGATGCTGGACAGTTTGACATCATGGCGTGGAAGATCATCTGTGTCAAAGTTGATTGAAAGTACACAAGACAGAAGGTTGTGAATAGACATGATTACCAGCACCACACGGCATGAACTTTAAGAGCATGATGGTCTATACTTCTGTGTTGGTCGATTAGCACATTGTGTTGTGGTTTACAGCTAGGCTGTGTTATCTGCATCTTTCAGCCCATCTCATTTCAGCAAACTCCTAAATCGTCAACTTTGCAGTTGTGGTTTTATGGCATCAGTGTGCATGTCCTCTCCTGCAGCTTCCAAGCTGGGGCCCCGGAAAGCACACAGAGAATCATCTATACTTGACAGTGAGTGTTGCCAGCCATTGATGTCTTGTTGTATTCTCCTCCTTGCAGGACTGGCCTGCCTGGGCAGAAACAGATGACCTTCCGGCAGCTGGAGGAGACCATCAACAAGTGGACCACGGAGCTGGAGGAGCAGGAGAAACATTTTCTGGACCAGGCCACACAAGTCAACGCTTGGGACCGCATCGTCATGGAGAATGGCGAGAAGGTACAGCTGGTGGAACTTTATTTGAGTAAAATATGCAAAACTAGTTTGTTTATTATTTTTTCACCTTGATTTGATAGAGAAACTTGTTTCTGTCTGTTTCTTGATTTGATAGAGACATTTGTTTGTCTTTTTTTTTATTTGATAGAGAAACTTTTTTCTGTCTGTTTTTTGATTTGGTAGAGAAGCTTGTTTCTTGACTTGATAGAAAAACTTGTTTCTATTTTTAAAAATCTTGATTTGATAGGTAAACTTGTCCGTTTCTGTATCTTGATTCAGTAGACAAATTTGTATCCGTTTCCTGACCTTGAATCAGTAGATAAATTTGTATCCGTTTCCTGACCTTGATTCAGTTGATAAATTTGTATCTGTTTCCTGACCTTGATTCAGTAGATAAATTTGTATCCGTTTCCTGACCTTGATTCAGTAGATAAATTTGTATCCGTTTCCTGACCTTGATTCAGTAGATAAATTTGTATTCGTTTCCTGACCTTGATTCAGTAGATAAATTTGTATCCGTTTCCTGACCTTGATTCAGTAGACAAATTTGTATCCGTTTCCTGACCTTGATTCAGTAGACAAATTTGTATCCGTTTTCTGACCTTGATTCAGTTGACAAATTTGTATCCGTTTCCTGACCTTGATTCAGTAGACAAATTTGTATCCGTTTCCTGACCTTGATTCAGTAGATAAATTTTATCCGTTTCCTGACCTTGATTCAGTAGATACATTTGTATGTATCCGTTTCCTGACCTTGATTCAGTAGATAAATTTTTATCTTTTTCCTGACCTTGATTCAGTTGACAAATTTATATCTGTTTCTTTACCTTGATTCAGTAGATAAATTTGTATCTTGTTTCCTGACCTTGATTCAGTAGAGCAAATGTCAGACCAGAGTCTAGTTTGCATGCAGATCTGTAAAATAGATGTGCACACAAGTTCAGGTTCTGGAACAAACCTCAAGTCGAAAAGTGGATGAACAACCTGAACTTTCTGCCAAAGTTTACAGCTGGTGAATGTAAAGAAGAAGATGAAGATCACAGTACATGAGCCATCCGGCCATGATGAGGCAGCAATTTTCTGGCATGAAACAAAAAATCAAAAACTATCATGGCCGACAATTGTTGTTGCAGATCATTCAGCTCAATAAAGATGTGGAGAAGGTCAAGCTGGACCAGCAGAAGCTGGACCATGAACTGGACTTCATCCACTCACAACAGAATGAGTTGGAGGACATTCTCAGCCCACTGGAGAAAGCCCTGGACAGTCTGCCCCCGATCACCTACCAGCAGCACGCCGATATTGAGCGTGAGCACACGTAAGTATGCCGGCTGATTTGTGTTTATGTTGGTTTTCGTGATGAGGTTGTTTAACCATTTACCCCACACTCTGAAGATCATGAGTTCGTTTCATGGCTTTGTATTTTGTGGAGATCGCTGAGTGTCGCCGTCAAAGTTCATGCTTTGTACAGCTCTCTCTGCAGACAGCTAGCTATTCTATAGAGACCAAGCTTGGGGCAGAGAAGTCGATTCTGTCAGCTCCAACTAACTTTTGACTTTTAGTTCTGATAAAATAAATTAAAACAGAATTAGCATCACTGCACTTACTGTCTTCCTCAGTAACAAAAAAAAAAGCGGGGGGGGGGGGGGGGGTGCCAGGTGCAACCAGATTTAAAGTCTGTTTGTTGGCACACGTGTTCAAACTTGTTCATACACTCTGCTCACTCCCAGCTAAATCAGTCTGTCCAGATATGGAAGCTCAGCTCTGTTCACCTGATTCCATAGACCTTCAACATATTTGCTTTATCATAAAGTAGCTCTCCACCAAAGGATTGACAGGGGTTTGATCAGCTTGCTCATTACTCCAGTATCCTGGTCAGAAAATCCATGATATACTCCAGATTGAAACTAAAACAGTCGGGTGGAGGGGGCAGAATGGAGACTACAGACCAGGGGGTGACAGCATAAACTAACTTCATAGGAAAGAACAAACATTGGTTTTTAGGTTTCATACAGAACACTCATCTTGCGCAGGAAAGAACAAACATTGGTTTTTAGGTTTCATATAGAACACTCGTCTTGTGCAGGAAAGAACAAACATTGGTTTTTAGGTTTCATACAGAACACTCATCTTGCACAGGAAAGGTATAAAAAACAAATCTGCCACATGTAGAGCAGACAGGCAGACTCCTGAGAATGTAGTGCAAGATTGCCCTAACTACCCCCAACAGAGGTTGAGGATTTATCCCAATAGATCTACATTACAGGGCTAGCTCTGGGCGACCAGTGCCGCAGGATTACCCTAACTACTCCCGACAGAGGTTGTGGATTTATCCCAGTAGATCTACATTACAGGACTAACTCTGGGCGACCAGTGCCGCTGTTTGTGATCCAGACGGGACTAATTGTTTAGCATAGCTGTCAAAGACAGAAGAAGCTCCTGGTCTGTTGCTTGAATACACACTTGACTGCTGCTGCCATTTATGTTCTGGCTTTGGTCTGTCATGCAGGCAAACCCCTGGTCTTGGTTCAGTAAAATTGAAAACAGGTGTATGACTTGACTTCTATAATATTGTGAGAGACAAAGGAGTGAGTGTGAGAGAGAAAGTTTGTCTTTGTAGGAGAGAGAAGCAGACCGGATTAGGTCACTCTCCCATTTCCTGACAGAAGTAAACGATGATTTTGTTATCATGTTCCCTTGACACAGATATGTGCTGGCAGAAAGCCTGGATGCCCAGCTCAAGCGCATGGGACAAGATTTGAAAGAGATCATTGAGCGGCTCAACTCCACAAATACTGCCCCAGATCCCAGTGATCCGGTGAGTGTTGCTTCCACTTGCTGTCTGTTTTTGTTTCTGCTGATTGCATTTAGATAACATTTTTCTATGCTTGCCTTCTGAGCATAGCATGGAACTCTTAACCGTGAACACATCCTCCATGACTGCACAGCTTTGAGAAATATTTGCTGCCAGACGTGCCTAGAGAATTATGATGTCAATTGGGGGAGGGGGAACTGCAGTCGAGCTAATGATGAGAAGTGCTAAATATAACATAAAGGCTGCTCAGTGGAGGAAACAGAAATGACATTCACAAACCCAACTGACTAGAGTATGTGCTCAGTACAACAAAAACTGACAGAACAACAGTCACAGTATGTGTTGTGTTGAGTACTCCATATATAAAGAATTTGACCGAAACGTTTGGTTGCATTTATGCTTGTTTTTTCCATTCACTCCGCTGAGCTTTCTAGTTGTATTTGAATGGGAAGCCCCAGGGCTTATGTGTTAAGCCGAAGAAGGTGATGAATTTTGTCTTACGAACAAGCCTGCAGATATGACGTGCCCACGAAACTGACCTGCAAGAATGGTTAAATCGGAATTCAAATTTCACAGCCAGTAGCCACCCCCCACCCCGATTGCTCTGTTCCTATGCCACTGAAAACCACTTCCAATGCTTATCAAATTCTGCCTAATGTGAAAAGTTCATTGAGCTGCAAGCCTGGCAAAGTCAGCACCATACACACTCATTAAATATTCAGTGGTTGCCAGAGGTGCCAATACCAATAGTCTGCCACTAAAATTACAGTTCATCATTCATAGAAGCAGCAGTCACAACAGATCAGCACTTGAAAGACAAGGAAAACTGTCAACAACCACACACAAAAACCCAACACAATGTGTTGTTGAACTAGCTAAGTATATTTATACGTGTCAAGAAGCATCCGACTTGTCTTACAGTCTTCTTTGCTTTCTTGTGCAGGTTCAGCAGGTGACCAAAATTTTGAATGCCCATGTAGTATCCTTGATGTGGGTCGACAGAAACACAGGTGGGTTGGTTGTGTTTGTATGCTAGCTAAATGTTCATTCTTGTGTATGCACTAACATATGCTTTTGCTGTTATTTTTAATTGTTTGTATCTCTCAGTGGGATTTTGTTCATTTTTGTATGTGACCAGGTATTTGGTCATTCTTGTATTTACTGTGGGCTTCTGTTCATTTTCGTCTTTGTCGGTAGGCTTCCGTTCACTCTTGTATGTGTCTGCTGGCTTTTTTTTATGTGTGTTGGCTTTCGTTTATTTTTGTTTATATGTGGGCTTCTATGTATTCTTGTGTATGTCTGTGGGCTTGTGCTCGTTCCCTTATTTTGTATGTGGGCTATCATTAACTCTTGTAGTTATGGGTGCAGTCATGTTCATTTTTGTAGATGTGTATAAATTAGTCTGTTCTTGTAAGTATAGCATTTAAAAACAAAACCAAAAAGGAAACACATAGTTACATTCAAACCTTTATAGTTGAATGAATGAAATTGTTCGGATTGCAAAGTTGAGTGAAAGTTTCAAGGTAATCGGTAAAGACCCTTGGATGTAGCTTCATGCAGAGGTCTGAGGTCAGCAGTCAAAGGTTGCCTGTCAGTGGAACTAAAAGGTAGGTAGGTAGTTGTACATAACACAAGCGATAAACACCCGTTGACACAAAGTGCCATCATGCAGATGAGGATCACCCGTGGAGAGGTCCCAGAACCCCTTTCAGCCGTTAGGCCATATTTATGGTCCGGCTATATTTAGGGCCTCCGGCAAATGCCAGAGTAGGGCTTCAAATAAAAAAAATTGCAATCCAAAAGGGGACGATTTAATTGCAGTAGGAACTAATAATAATTCTGACCAGGCAACGAAACAAAAACCGTGGCCATTGCTGTAGCTATGTCGTTCGTGGTTTGTGCGACACTCTTACATAACACACGCGCAGTAGAATACAACGTTGTGTGAAAATTTGAAAACAATTGGTAAAGAACTTTAGGAGATTGGCTATTACCAATCAACAGAAATTTAAATTTTTACTTATTAAAATTGCGAGAATCAGTCAAATTAAACTTTGTGTTATATCCTTTTGAATAATTTTTCATATTACTTTCCTTGAAAAGATAATTAAAAAAAAATTATATTTCGCTGTTATCTTCCCTGAAACCACATATCTATTTGTGTCTAAGACATTATGTTTTTGTCTGGCTCCCAAATTGTTAAATACTGGTCACAGTATTACAGGGATGCCTCGGGTGCACTTAGGTTCAATGACGAAAGGTACAGCAGCGGTGAATACAAAGATGAAGTAGAAGACGGCATAGTAAATATAGGGTTTCAGTTAGAGCCTTATTTACACGCCTACATTTAGGGCAACGGTGGAGACCAAGATGAGGTAGGGGGGGGGGGGTAAAATGTTTTTTCACTGTCCGGAGCAAAGTCGGGCAGTTTAATCTTGTTGACCATAAGTTGAAGAAGGTGTATAATTTACCACAGCAAATTATACCCACATCTCTTGCACCCTCTTTTCCCCTTTCCCGAATACCCGCCTTCTGTTGTTATTCTTCACTTCATCCTCTATCTCTTGCTTCCTATTGATTTATTTTATGCTGTAGCTTCAGACCTTTGAGTAGCATTAACATTTGTTGTGTCTTCGTCCCCAGCCAGCCTCCAGCGACGAGTGGAGGAGATCTCCAAGCAGATGGATTTAGAAAAGAGAGAACAGGAACGAAACTTCAGACTTGCCTACAGCTGAGAGCATTTATGTAGCAGACCTGTTTTGTTTTGTAAGAATATATATTTTTGTTAACTTGCTGTGGCTGTTTCTTCTGTGTTTGGTGGTACATGTCATGGTTGTGTGTCGTTACATTTGTGAGGAAAATTCTCATCACAGTCACCCCTTTGTTTTGGACTTTCTTTCTTTGGCTCTGTACAGCGCAGAGACTCGTTAAAAAAAGTGAATAGATACCATAACATCTAGTTTAAACTGGAGGTGGAGGCAGTTACAGCAGCTTTTCGCTGGCTTGATAACCGGTAGTTAACATCCTTTGGGTATTTTCTCCAGAGCATGCAGATGTGTTGTGAAATGAATAAGCAGACTGATTGACTAGGTTTCACCAATGGTTGGTGACCTGATGCATGTTAACCTAGATAGTGGTCTTGGAGTATGGCATCCGCCTCGAGTGCTGGAGGTCTCCAATAAATGCTGGCATTATTTCACATGGACTTCTAGTAATTTCCCCTGGTCTCTGTGTAGTAAGATCATATGCCCGTATGTATTGTTGCGCACATACAAAATCCCTTGGCAATTGGAAATCAAAAAGAGTAGCCTAACGGCCTACCCGGGCAAAATTTGGAGCTTAAAATCTACCAAAAGTATTCCAGGATCCTCGGTGGTGCTACAAAGTTCAGGCACTGTGCTGAGATTCTTCGGAACTGAGGCTTGAATTAGAAGTAGGATGGAGCACTGATGGGTTACTACCCTTGTGCCATGCTGTTGATAAACTAAACCAAGCATAAATGTGGCCATGGTCCTTTAGGAGCACGCGAACAATATGGAAGCGTGAATAGATATATGCGGCCTGGAGAGAATGATGGGACCAGGGGGTCTAGCAATACCCAAGCTGCTACTGGAACCAATGAAACCACAGCTTTTGCTGGCTACTAAAGGCAAGAACTGAGTGCATGTAGGAATGTCCCGCGTGCTTTGGTGTTTGTTCTTGACTCCAAGCAGCAGCATGGAGCTTAGTATGGATTTACTTGATCAGTACAGTGATGCCTTGGTCTACCTCCTTAAACCGTTCCAGATCCTATTCTTATACCAAACAGTACATACACCAAACCAATTTTCTCACAGGAAATTAGAAGAATGATTAATCCATTGCACGAGAGAAGAAAAATCATTTTTGTGTGTGCATATTATCATATATTGATGGGGTTATGTAAAATAATTTGAGCACAACTTAATAAAGACGGTGACTGTGACTTAAGCTTTGTGAATGCGCTTCATAATGCCAAGGTGCCGGGTTCGATCACAGCTGCAGGTAATTTGGCTGCAGATTGTCTTGCCTTGGTTTCAACAGCGGTACCGAAAATACAAAAGTAGTTAGATCAAATAAGTGAAAAACTGACCTCATTTGACCTTGCTGAGGGGAGGAAATGTTATTGTTTGGAAGGAGAGTCCCCTCCCAGTAAAACTTCAGGAATCTAAAATTCTGATTTTTGTGTGTGTCTTTCTCTATTTTCCCTGCTTAGACCTGTCTGAGGCTTACCTGGTTTTACTTTTGCAAACACATCGCCAGAGCTACAGGGCACATGCTCTGCGCTTGACACATTAGCTACTGGCACCATTAGTATCGGAACTCTTTACTGGCTGCTGAAGATGGGGACGGAGCACTTATGGGAATGCCCCGAGTGCTGTGATGTCAGTTCTTGAATCAAATCAAATCAGTCAACTTTTGCAAACAAACAAATCTGGCGCACGGTGTCCTGACTCATACAAACAAGTTTACAGATCTCGAGAGGTGTAAGCCAGTTGATTCTGTGCTGCAGTTATTTTTATTTATGACTTCCCCTACTCTATAGTCATTGTTTAGGTTTTGATGATAAATAATAGGTTTTATGCAGTTGATGTAGTTTTTTTTGCTGATGTGTAAAATGATTGATTTTTCTAAAGAATTTTTGAAAAATGGAAATATGGGAACTCTAGTGTTTTCTTCTCATATGTGGCCAGGGGTAAAAGGTTAATTGCCTGGAATATGAGGTTTCGACTGCTGTAGTCCTGTATCTAACTACTGCTAGACTTTGACTGACAGATATTGCTTCTTCCGGGTCATTTTTTGCATTACTGTTTGCTCAAAATATTTGTTATTGTGGCGCACAATTTGTTTTAAATATTTTTTTTTTTTTTTGGTCAGTATTTGACGGCAACCATCTCATCATGTTTTGTTGTTTTTACAGATTTGTAACTCGTAACAAAGAGCTGTATGAAGTCTCTGCTGTTGATGGACATCAGGGCAGGATAACCATTATCTTCATGTGTTGAGAACATCAAAGGTCACTTGTTGGATGTCAGCGTGCGATCTCTGAATACCAGATGTTGTTTGGAGCCTTGTGAATTTGTTGATATTCAGAAATTAAACCATAAATTTTTCTGACATGTTCAGCAGTGTGTTGGCCTGTTTGTTAAACCAGCTAATCTGTATTGCTAGTTTGGTGTTGTCTTTGTCAGGTCATAAGTTTAATCTTCTTCGTCACATTCACTAGTTGTAAACTCGGACGGAATGTTCTGGTTGTTCATGCACTTCTGGACTTCATGTTCAATAAGCTGAGTTTTGTGTGCACATCTGTTTTACAGATCTGGCTTTTTTTAATGCAGAATATTAGTTCTTGGCCTCTCTGGCAGATGCAGTCCATTTGTAAAGGACACATCCCTAATACAACATGCGTATTGGGGTCAGTGGGGTGTTTTTTGCTTTCTGTGTTCACTGTAATGGGAATTACTTTGTTCAATAAAGTCAACAGTGAATTAGCCTTTCTAAGCCTGGAGATGTATTAAACAGATCAGACAATTTCTTGAGGCCTCAGAGATTATTTTTTTTTAACAGAAGAATCCTTGGACAGTCAAACAGAGATGTGGTTTTACCAAAGAATCCTGAGAATTTCATTGACAACACACCCCCCCCCCCCCCCCCCCCAATCCATTTTTTTAGAGGAGCAAATGGCTAAGAGCGCAGTGATGTCATGCGGGGGATCCAGGTTCAAATCCCCTGCAGTAGATTTTATTCTGTTTGAGGCAAAAATAAAATCCTAGCTTACAGTCCATGGCGACTGCACCATGACCCTACCCAATCCCCGTACACTGCAAAAGTAGTAAATAAAAGACGTAATTGGCAGTGTTTTTTGTGTGGGTCAGATGTGAAAGAAGCGAGGGCTCGTAGGCAACTTATCACAAACATCAGCAAGAGACAGTCATAAATTTGTGATCATGTTATGAGAAGGAAACTGGAACATGTGACCAGTGGTAAGATCTGTAGAAAGAGAGACGGGGAAAAGACGGCGCAAGAAGTGAACACGTGACCAGTGGTAAGATCTGTAGAAAGAGAGATGAGGAAAAGATGACGCAAGAAGTTTCTTGACCGACTTTTGTCGGAGCATGAAATGGTGACAGCAACACAAACTGATACTTGGTGTCGAAGTGGATTTTAGTTTTACAGATCTGTTTTTTTTAATGCAGACTGTTGGTTATTTGCATCTAAGCCAGCTGCATCCTGACTTTGAAGGAAACCCCTAATTGGTCGACCCTTGTGACATACTTATAGGGGCGAGGGGGACAGTGGGTCTATTCTGATGGTCCCCATAATGGGGTCCCGGAAGCCCCATGGCGAAGTAGGAAGTCAGGAAAGCAAATCTTGGGGGAAATGGCACCAATGGAAGTGTCAGTTTTGTGGCTTCTCACAGGTTAATCTTTCCTCATCTGTTTTCTAAAGCAACCTTATTGTCTCATTTGGTCTTTTTTTTTTGGTTCTTCTAAATATACTGTCCATAAAGTTCAGAAAACAGGTTGCAGAATACCACTAACTCTGTACTATATGACAACTAAAAAAAAAATTATTTTAAAAGGGTCAGAAACTGGGCACGCTGGCCCTTCCAAACCTCATATTTCAAACTGCAATTGAATTTTATCCTCACAGCAAATGACTACAAATCATAAAAGACCTAGAATAAAGATGTCAACAGTGCTGTAATTTCTTGCAACACTTGGACGGTAAAAGGTTTCCAGTCACTTAAGGGTGTATTTTCTTTGCTGATCTGTGTTTCACCACATGGGGCATCGACAGAATTGTTGCAAATGGTGATGTGGGCTGTGAATTAACAAACAAATAAACAAAATTTTGTTACAGCAGTAGTTAACATGCCATTGTTGCTTTGTAAAATTACCTCTAAAAATATTTTTGCGCTTTAAAAAAAATTGAAGGAATCTACCACTGTTATTATTTTCCTGTGTTTGAGGGGCCACAACAGCTAGAGCCTTGTTTTGAGTGCAATAATAATAATTATTTTTGCATATTGAAAAGACAAATATAATAGTCTTACAAGAGAAAAATGAGAGAAAATGATCAGCAGACGACATGTAACCAGTAATTTTGGTTAGCTGATGAAAACTTTTGTTACTTGTGCGGCTTATGGACAAATGTAAAAATTAAATTTCAAATTAAAAAAAATGCTTGAGGCAAGTGATTTAATGAAATATGTTTATGATGGGTAACAGCAAGTTATGTGATAGGTCTCAGATGAGTTACATGTTATGTGATAGGTCTCAGATGAGTTACATGTTATATGATAGGTCTCAGATGAGTTACAAGTTATGTGATAGGTCTCAGATGAGTTACAAGTTATGTGATAGGTCTCAGATGAGTTACAAGTTGTGCAGTAGATCTGTAATAAGTTACAACTGTCAGAAACACTGAAAGAGATGTCTGAGAGAGGCTGCAGGAGTGACCAGAAGAAATAAAATCGGGTGTGGGGTTATGTAAGGGAACAATTAGGCATAGAACCAATTATAAATTAATTACTGCTGCTTATCGCTAATCATGGTAAACTCAGACCGGAAACTCCAATTTTTCATCCACTTCTGGGCTTGATCTTGTTCCAGAATTTGAGTTTTTGCCAAAATATCAATTTTTCACATCTAGATTATTTGTTTGCAGACTGTTGGTTGCACGTCTTTCAGGCAGATGCATTCTAAAGGAAACC